AATTTAATAATAAAAGATGCTTTATCCATTTGTGCAAAGGTAAACGCAGATTGTATCTTTTTTAATGGTACGGCATAAAAAAAGTAACCCTTAAATGAAGCTGCTCTATTACTATAGAGTACTTTAACATGTATAGATATCTTGTAAACTTGTATTGTGGATGTGTAAATAATACGTTCTTTGGGTTTTTAACACCGCATGTAAAGTCAAAATAAAATATTCCCATGTACTGAATGTGCAATTTCATTATTGGTGCAGATGTGCTGTGGGATTACTGAGGGGGAAATCTGTGTTTGCCTGCAGCAGCTCTGCAAGGAGGGCGCAGCCGCTGCCTGGCTGCAGGACTTGCAAAGGCTGGGGTGACACACCAGGGTCCTGTGTGTCCTCTTCAGCCCCTCTGAGCGCTGTGTCCCTGGGGCAGAGTCAGGGGCTGTCAGTGACCTTTGGCCCCCTGAGGTAAATACAAAAATCAGAGTAACCAGCATGTGGTGGCAGAGCTCAGTACAGAGTCAGGGCTGCCCACACAACACCAACACCATGCACTGAAGTTGATCCCTGGAGCTCCATCCAGGTTCCAGCTGGGCTCTAGTTCCTGCAAACCTTTCTTATTAAGGTCAAAAAAATACCAATTTTGTGCAAATATATACAGTTCAGAAAGGAGGTAGTGTGTTCCTTCTACAATGTAGATTACCAAAGACAGAGCTAATTCCTGGCCAAATTAATTGCTAACTCACATAGCAGGACATTCCTAAATACTTATTAATGCTTAATAATTAAAACTCACATTTCAGGCAGACAGTTAAAGCCCAACAGAAAAATAGATGCTGTATATTTAGTATGTGCCAACATCCCACAGAATTTTAAAATAATCAAGGTAATTTAGTATCAGAAAACAAATATAACATTCTTTTAATTAAAAGTTAATTTTAGATAGTGGATAAAAACGATTTTTTTACAAGATTATGCTGTCAAGGTATTAATCATTTGAAATTGTTGTGCATGTTATAACACTATAACAACACCTAGTTGTATCTTACCAAAATTCAGAAGGAAAAAGAAATATGGTGCTTAAAAAGTTCCAAAGCTATAATGGCTCAATATATATTTTCTAGTACCACAGAAAAAAATTCTTTTTTATATTAGCATGGGGTTTTCTTCATTGGATGTCTTCTTATATGAAATGAAGCATCAAACACACACAGCTCTCACAACATGCTGCTTTCCCACTTTAAAATCAGCTATGCCTTTGGCACCAGTGTCAGCAGTGTGGCTAAAGGCTTTCCCTCTGGAGGGGCTGTACCTGCCTGAGTCATCTTCAGCCAGGCATTAAAGGTCATCATGAGAAAATTACAAATAGCTGTTTTAGTGCATCTGCAGCACAAATCCTGGGATAATTTTTGTTCAGAAAATGTCTCTATTTTATCTAAAATATGTCAAGTGACCATTTTCTGGGGTTCCATGGTTTGGTCTGTATTTGAACCAGCCTTCCCTTAACCAGTGCTGTGCTGGCTGGATGGGTGCAGCCAGACCATCATCTCCCAGCATGCTCTGTTGGGTTACATGGTGCATGCAAATACCATGTTTTATTTATTTATTTTTATTTTTATTTTTAAATACCTGAAAATAAATATTTAGAATTTGTTAGAAAAATATGTACAAGAAAACTCTCCCTTCACTAACAGAGATGGCTTGTATCCAATGACAATACCAAAGCAGCCACCTACAGCAGCCCCATTCTGAAAAGGAACTTCAGCACTGAGGAAAAGTTTAGCAAGAAAAGAGTTTTTCTCCTTCAATGCTTTCCTGGGTGAGCCAGTTGGTTTTAAGTATCCTAAGGTCTCTCTTGAGGAACAATCCAAAGCCACAGGTGATAAAGGAGCACATGAAGGGTGCTTGTTGTGCCTGGGGTCACCCCAGCAAGGGGAGGTCCCAGCACTGAGGGATGTGGGGCAGGGCGGCTGTGGACACGGGCCGGAAGAGGAGAGGCTCCTGCTCAGCTCTGGCTTGCTTCGGGTTTTGTAGAAAAAAATAGTTTTGAACAGAACACAGGCAAAACACCAAAGGGCTGCAGGACCGTGCTAGTGAGATGATTGCAAGAAAACCAATTTGTAAAGCTGTGAGCAGTTATCTCTATGACTGCACTGCCAGAACAAACCTATGGCCTTTTAAATTGGGGTCTTAAAGTAATCACAGTAGTTAGAAAAATCAGGATGCCTCTGTCTTAGTGCTGTCTTGCTAATGACTCACTCTGTGACCCTGGGAAGATTATGCAGGGTTTATGCAGTAAATGGCTCCTCAGAATGCAGTGGGTTTAGTGCAGTTGGTGTGTTCTGTACTGTTTTCTTCTAATGCTTCCTTCTCTCTCTGTGATTCTGAGCACTAGCAAGGACATCTTGCAGGTAAATAAAGGGAAAGAGAAATACCTTCCCATCTGGGAAAGGTTAGTATTTGCAGGAGTAGGGAAGAGTTGGTTGGTATTTCCCCAGGTGCCTATTAATTTCATGGCATGGAAAAATATTTTTTAAAAATTGATCACGACAAAATACCTCATAAATGCAGCATCTGGACTTCAGCTGGGATGTGCAAGCTTTTCATATAAAAAGTACTACCAGGAGACCAACATGCCAAGACTGCATTTGTTGTTCAAATGTCATCACATCACAGTATGAAAGAGCAAGAAAGCAAAGGATTTGGGAGAAAAAAACCACACATTAAATATTTAATTAGATTCAGCTTTGCTTAGAGAAGTAGAGATTCTCACCTTTTTATTCAACCCTGCTAAAGTTCAGCTGGTGTGAGGGCCTGACTCTGGTCCAGCCATTGCTGCCTGCTTGCAAACATTTTCACTGGCATATTGCATTGGCCTGACACACACCTGAAATTATAATCTGTCCCAAACTCTCCACTGAGAAACTGTTTCCACTCTGCCTGAAACAAAATTTATTGGAAGTTCTGATTTTATTAGTGCATTCTGAATTCATCTGAGGGCCTGATTTATGGTCTCCTCACTTGCTTTTCTCCTACAGTCACTAATAACTTTTCTGAGCTCTTCTCATTAAAATTGTAACTAGATCCCAGCCTGTGTCCTACAGAGAAGGCTGCTGACCAGAGCAGAGGTGTCAGAGAGTCCCCATGTTTAGGTAAGGATTGAGAATTCCTTGGTCTGCAATGGTGGCACTGCATCCTTCCTATCAGACTGGTGTCTTTGCCCTCCATGTCAGACAGAAGTGTTGCTTAAGCTCCTGTAATGCTTTAAGGGTAGGGGAGGAGAAGAAAATCTACCACATAGACAAGCTGTCCTGACTATTTTCAGGAATGATCCCCGTTTGTCAACATAAAAGGAATTTTATGACAGAAAACCTTAATGGTCAAAAAAATAAATCCCTACCCCCAAACTGACCTGCACACATCTTGCTGTCCTTGTTTTGAGAATGAGAAGCTGTTTTCCAGGGCAGAGACTTACTGAACTGCACAAAAATGAGCAAAGAATACCAGTTCTCAGTGGAGGCCCTTCTGCAGGATCATACCTGGCTCTAAAAGCTGGTTTGTAAATTTTTCCAGTAGCTGACCTTAGCCATTGGCAGAGGCAGTCCATGAGCTCAGTGGTTTGCTTCTGCAGCAGTACTGACAGCCTCTAACATATGTCTGTTCCTGCACAGAAATGGACAGCTGCCTAGTAAGAGAAGAAAGGTGGCAACTGGCTTTTAATTTGGGTCACTTCAAGCACAGGGTTACTTCTAAATTCTTTGATTTACAATACTGGCCTCACATGAGGAAAAAATAATCAGAAGCAGATCAGAGCAGATGAATCATAAAAGCAATGCTTAAACTAGCTGCACCTTCCTTTTCTGTGCACTGAATATCCATGTGATTACTCTGATTTCCTCAGGAATACATGCTGGTCAATTAACAGCCTGAGATGTTTTTTTTGTTAGAGACTAATGGCAAATTTTTATGATCAGGCTGTGCTGTATAACTATGAATGGCCATCAGTCACAGGTTATCGTGCCTGGCCAACAATTAGGTGAGAGAGAAGCACTTCCAATATTAATGTGGCGTGTGAGAATTGATTTCTGTGAAAGCTTGTGCATGCAGCTCTGACATTCAGTGTCTGTCACTGCTGCTGGGGTGACATCCTGCCTCCACCCAGGGAGATGGCAGAGCTGCATGGGCCAGGCCTTTGCCCTCACTCACTCAGCTGTCCCCAGCAAATGTTAAAGAGGTGTGAACAAGGCCAAAGGAAAATGGGAGGCACATCTGCAGGAAAGCATTTGCAGCCCCCCACATCATCTCTGGCCACAAGTGTTTGATAGGGATCAAGGCTTCAGGGTAAGAAAAATGTCTCTGTTGGAATCACCTGTTTTTTCTGCTCATTGGAGAGTTTTCCAGCAGGTGCCATCATGGGAACTGAACAGGCTTGCTTGGGCCAGCTGACATTTTGTGTGTGGAGTTCTCTTGCCATCCCTGGACCTCAGTGTGTGTGGCTGCAAGTCTGCTTTTAAATTCACTAGCAAATCCCATAAAATATTGGACTCAACTGGGGCATAAGGTGCCAAATGCTGAGCTCCCAGGCACAAGAGAAAAGCCAGGTGAAGGTACCCAGAGAACTCATTGAGACTGCTGGGAGGGCACTTCTGCTGCTAACAGAAGCAGAACAAGGTGTCTTGAGTTGGTTTCACTTCTTCTGGTAAGTCAGGCACATCTAAATATCAAAATCACAAAATTACAGAATGACTGAGGTTGGATTGGACCTAAGATCGTCTGTTTCAAGCCCCCCTGCTTAAGCAGGGCCACCTGGAGCCACTCAAGCATTCAGGAAATCACTGACCTGAGCTAGGACCCTGGACTGAGTGACAGTAAAAATGATTATTCATGCTTAAAATCCTTCCTAAAAGAACTTTCAGATTAGGTGGGTCTTCTAGCAGACAGGTGAAGTCTTCCTTCTACCCAGACTGAGGGGAGTTTAGATATCCAGCTACTCTTTTTATTGCAGCACTTACTTCTCTTTGACAAGCATAGAGTGCACATCTCAAACAGTCCTTCTCTGTTCAGATCCCAGAGGATCTCTGCTGCTCCTAATGCACAGCGTACGGTTCTCCGTGCGAGCCTTTCATCTGAAATGACATCACGATCAAAGGCAAGGTTAGACAGAGTGCAACACACTGAGAAAGTCATGTGATATTTCAGAGCTGCTTCATTACTGGGACGACAGTTCAGAAAGTACTTGAAAATGACATTTTACTATACATGATATGTTCCATATTACAAGCATTCCTTGCCAGTCCCTGCTGCTTCAGTGAAACTGTAGTACTGGGTAAAAGACTGGATTTGCTCTTCTACAGGAATCAAACTCCAGGTAGAATTGCTCCCGATACTCTGAGGGAGGGGATACGTCTCAAAAGGCTCCAACTACAAAAGGTATTCTAGACCAAGAGGAACAGAATATCACATAGGACACAAAGCAAGATCAGTTGTCAAAAACATACTTTTTGTCACATTTCATATGAAAACCATTTAGAAACCTGTCATCTCACCTTGATGGCAGGAGGAAGGAGAAAATGTTTGCCCTGAAACTGGCTGACAGAATGGACAGCTTTATGATGTTGGCTTCGAATACAATCTTGCACAAATGCCACCCAGCCAACAATCAGCAGTTTCTATCTAAACCCAGTACTGGAGCCTTTACACTCCTCCTTGTGTTCTCTGAAATATAGTCTAACTTGCTTTGCACAGAACAATAACTAACCTGTACTGAAGCTGCACTTCACTATTTAAGTAGTTGTTTGTTTTTTCACCAAGTCCTTCCAATGATGGCTTCTCTCCTGAACAGCTGCTTTGTAGGATACTCCAGCCCCACTTCCCTCTGCAAAGTGGAGTCAGGATCAGAGAAGCTCAGCTTCAAAATGGGAGACTGCACCTTTGTTATGTCCCAGTCTCACCCCCAAGCTTGTCACAGCATGAATGACAAGGCAGAACCTTCTCCAGGATGCTTCCCTATTAAGTCCTTCCTATCTAGCATGGGCTCCTCCCTCTCATCAGTGTAACTCAGGTTGTCACAAATGTAACATTTGTCTCTACGAAAATTTCCCCAGAACTCCATCAAACACCCATAAGTAGCTTGTCCATAACAAAGTCAGGGAGAGCAGTGGGACAACAGACCCAAACCAGGGGTCTGAAAGCAAATCTGGAAAACTGACAGAAACCAGCAGAGGATCCATGTCTAAATGCCGCTCATGCCTTTGAAAATCCTCTCAGCTGTTAGGCCTATTTAATCCTTGCTCTCTGCTCAGACATTACCAAAGTCGCCAGCTCTGATGTGTAACATTCACCCTGTAGACATGGGGAAGACCCATGGCATCACTGGACAACACACCAAATCCCCTAATCCCAGCCCTACAGACACTGACTAGCTAATGCCTCCTGATGCCAACAGAATTCCAACCAATAACCACAAACTTACGAAGTCCCTTTTTAAAGAATTTCTCTACTTATCCAGGGTTACAGAATCTGTTTCCATTTTGGGGGTTACTGTCCTCACTGAGTTTTTCTGCTGTTATGGTTGTTGTTTTAAAAGAAAGCAATTCTGGAATACTAATAAGTCTATGTGAATTCTTTTCCCCCTAAGATTATTACAAACGTTGACATTAAATGTACTAGCCTGAACCCAGTTTCTGTCTGATTTAATAAATTTATGCCAGCCAACCAGCAATTTTTTTTAATTAACCCTGGAGGTTAAATGGAAGTTTACTAAAATGAGAATATGTTAAATGAATAATTTCTCTTGCCTTCTTTCACGAAGTCTCTCTCTTACCCCAATAATCAGTTCAGCTGCAAAGAGATCAATAAGGTCTTTCAATTCAATGAGTAGAAGGCATACATTAAAAGGTTGGTAACAAACCTGATATACTGGAGAAGATATTTCAGCTTTTATGGGTTTTTTTGACACTAAATCTATCTGCTAAAAATTCTTGAGAAAAGGTTACTGCCCATACACTAATATTGCCAAATGGCATAATTTGTTAGCAGTGCTTGGGAAGATATCCTGGCATTTATCCGTAAACACAAGTTTTGTCTGTTAAATCCTCATTACAGAAGAAAGCACACTTTTAATCTTAAAGCAGAAAACAACTTCAGAAGCCAACCATTGTTGGCTCTTACTATGCCATAAATGAGCACAGCAGGTTATCCTTTCCTAGACTGTAAAATCCCAGTTGAATTCAGCCCTCCCACCTAACAGCTCACCAGGCACGGTGTGTGCAGCCCAACACCCTGCACACACCCCCTTGTCACTGCTGTTAGGGACCTGTCTCTACACAGGAGCTGGGTATTGCTCACCCCAGGAGCGGTCACTCACAACAGTTCAGTGCAGGTCATGCTTGTGAGCTAAGATTAAATTTACCATGATTTAGTGTCAGTCTCACTGAAGGACATTGAACAGTATAAAACCCTTCAGTTGTGTCCCCTTTTGGGCTGTAATTATACCAATAGCTTTAGATCATTAAATGTACCCATCATCATACTTCTATCGATCTCAAGCCAAACGTGCAGGCTCCCAGGGAGAAGGAGTGAGTTTTTAAGAGAGTTGAACTGGAACAAGGACTCAATCACAGCATCCATGCAGAGCAGCAGAGCTGAGCTGTGCAGCTCCCAGCAGAGCAGCCAGCGTGTTTACATCCACTGCAGGAGGATGCGTTCCCAGAATTTCATGCCGCAGAATCATCTGCGTGGATTGAAATCCTCAGAGACACAGAAGTCTTGGTTTATTCCTGTGATACTTCAGTAAAACAGAAATCACCTGGCAGATGCTTCTAGTCATGTTTGGCAGGAATTTACTAACACTGGTTCAGTTCTCATCACAGTCTTGCGTTCTTCTCAGTGGCCCCATTTAGTTCTTGTTAAGTAAACACAACTAGCACTCAGGAAAGTGCTCAAAGTAAAGCGCTTTATATGAGGTGCCTGACTGAAATAAGCATTTCAATTAGATTCATTAAGTAAGTTATTACTTGCTAATTGAATAGCAACAGACTGCTAAGGATCACTTACTGAGGTCTAATAAGTATGTAAGAGTGAAATCTACTCTTCATGTAATTCCATCAGCAATAAACTAGTATAATTAGCTTCTTACTAACAAACTTAAATTGTGGGGAATGTTGAGGCAGATAATTGGCACTTAAGAAGATACCTATAGCAAGTTAGTGGGGTATCAATTAACATACTTATGAAATGTCAGTTTAAACTCTGAACAAATAATTTATACCAATGGGCTTGGGTACTTACTTAAAAGCTATTTAAATGCTTAAAGTTTCATGTTCAGAAAAAAAAAATTAAAACAAGTCCTCTCACTGCTCTTTTAAAAAAATTATTACATATGCTTCATTTCCAGGTGCATAACCTATGAATTACCTTCAATAACCATCAGTAAGGACTCTGGGGGTGCTGGCTATAAATCCTCACATGTGAGTGGTTCAAGAACCTGTTTTCCCAGGCTGCTGTCTGCTCAGGAGCATGCTTGCCTTTCACCCCTCGCTCTCTCACACCATCTGAAGCCTATTTAGCAACCTATTTTCACAAAATTGTGCTTCCAAAGGAGTATTAATCATCTGAGAAACAGCTAATTCCTGCTCCCTGCACTTTCAGACTCAACCATCACAGGACCTCACTCTACTTTGATAAAATTAGGGTTCATACCCCATGACTGTGAAGTCTCATTTTTTTACATAGAGAATCTGAGGCACCAAAGCAGCAACTTTTGTCCAGAGATGACATGGAAAGACCTCATGGGATCAATTCCTTCCCCAGGAGCTAGTAGATAAAGCACCTTTTTATGTCATTTGGACCAACCAACCTGAGTGAGGGAACAACACAAACATAGTAATTGTCTAGTCAGGAGAAGCAGCAACATAACCAACATTCGTGCCTCTAGTCCTGGGAGCTTACCATAGCTCCATCTTTTCCTAAAGATATTCTCCAGATGTTCTGGAAAGTCTTCATGTTAGAAACTGAAATCTGTGTGCTCTCTGACTTAATATGCAGCTTGGCTGAAGGAAATGAAGCATTTTGCAATGGCACAGTGTGTATGGAGCACTTCTGTTTGCATGCAAAGCCTGAGCCCTCAAACCCAACAGAGGCCTTGGGAGGAAGGCAAAAACTCCCACTTCAGGGAGCAAGGGCAGCTGGTGGTGGCAGAGGTGTTGGACTGGAGCCTCAGTGCAGGTGGGGGCAGAGGCACCAAAGGAGGTGGGAGGATGCCAGGGCAGGAGACCTGAGGACAGCACACAAGAGTCCCCAGCTGGGCACACCAGGCTGTGGAGCAGACAAGGTGCAAGGGAAGGGGAATACAGGGCTGGAGTCTGAGCTGGGTGAGGACAGGAGGGCCAGGAAGCAGGAAGCTATTGGCAAGGGTAGTAGTACTTGCCATTTAAAGGGTATATGTGCAAACCAATTTTAGAAACTTCTATTTTAAATTGGGTTCACCCCTCCCCCTTCCCCACATACAGAAACACACACTGATCCATCATCCATTTTAAAAAATTGTCAGCATATCCCTGTCAGCTAGCTGTGATTTTTTTCAGCTATGCCAGCAAAAGCCCTAATGTAGACACAGATATAATATGAGCAAAAGGGGGGAAAAAACCTTTATTTTTGCCAATACAGCTTCTTTTGCTCAGGCAACTGATACAAGTTATATTTTTGCAGGTTTTTTTTTTTTTCTAGTGTGAGCTTCTGTACTCTAAGTGATTGCACTGTCAGTGCAGCTGTGCACTAGGTTCAAAGAAGGTGTCCACAAGACCTTAAATTGTGTTGGGGAAAGGACAGGACCCAGCTCTGTGAAATCCTGACAGTGCCTGGAGCTCATAGGCATGGATGCAATAAAAATACAAAATAATACAGAATTTCAAGCCCTCTGTTCCCAAGCTCCAGAGTAATGGCAGTCAAACTTTCCTCACTTCCCAACCCTCCCAAGAAGCAGCTTCAGCCCAATGCAGCACTGCAGGTAATCAGTGTCTTCTTAGAGTAAATTACATCCTAAAACTTAGAGCTGCTTCACTGTCCAGAAGCTGAGAAGTATGAGAAGGACTTTTCTGTTCTGTATGAATGGAACAAAACTTGAGCA